ATGGTTGCACAACATGGCAAATATGCTAAAACCCACTGAATTGTATGCTTTAAAAAAGTGAATTTTATGGCATGTGAGTTATATATCATTAAAGATGCTATTTTATAAAATGAGGTTAAATGATTTATGTATCATTAAGTAGGGATGAGTCAATATTTATATCCAGGCAATCTGGCTGCAGAGCCTGCATTGTTAACTGCTCTATATTCTATATCTCTAGTGAGAAGAAGTGTACTTGGTGATATCATCTTATTTATTTATTCCAAGGATATAATTTGGTATATGATGAATAGCCAGACTGAATGCAGACAATCTTCCATGAATAGTTTTCTTAAAACAGAGCTTTTGATAATAATTAGTTGTAATCAATTTTACTCAATGACAAGAACCTGCAAGATATATATTTCATTGCCAGAAAAAGTTTGAAGGATATAGTCCTACATAGATAACTGAGTTGATTGGTTTTCTTTGTTAGATTTCTTCATTCAACTTTCAACAAATGTTATTGATTATCTACTATATGACAGATCATCTTCTAGGTATTGGGGATAGAGCTATAGAATAGAGCTACAATTTCCTCCCTGACCTCAGAAAATGCACATTCTAAAGGAATAACAAGAAACAAATATTAGAAATAATTGTACTTAAAGGCTTGTGTAGGGCTACCAAGTTTACAAAGGCAGATACAGAAGAGTGACTAGTATGTGGGGCGTGAATTATAGTAGAGAGAAAGATCTGAGAATAGTCAGAAATCTTGAGTTTTAAAGCTGTTCAGACAAAATTATAATTCTAGATTTTGTGTATTAATCAAATTTTCTTCCCCTCATTAATTTTATGGCATGACCAGTTGTCTTTTGAGGCCACTTAAATTGTGCCATTGGCACATAAGCTATTTATTATTATTATTATTATATAAGGGAAGTCAGAAAGGAATGAAAGATGGGGTAGTAGAGGAGGGTTCATACACTTAACTCAGTTCAAAGCTAACACCAAAAACTTGAAACACACAGGTAGGCACATTTCTGCATTCTTCCCCGTTCAATTCTCAGACTTGAAGGCTACAAACAAGTCTGATGGGCCCTAGAGAATGATCCTAAATTCCCATAAGCAACATAGTTTAGGTTTTCTAGGAGCAGATTCTGAGATGGAGATTTATGTGCAGCAGGTTTATCATGGAATGCTCTTGGAATTCACATTTGTGGAAGAGAAGGAAGGAGACAAGATTAGGTAGAGGGAAAAGTCAGGGCATTATGCGTCTTTAGAGGAAGTCTAAGATAAACCTATGGGGAGTTCTTTTTTTGTTGTTTTTTTTTTTCTCACTTTAAATAAAAAGCTAATGCAGGGAGTTCGTAGACCAAATTGGGGCAACAGAACTGAGCTTTTCTACTCTTTCCTCGGAAGCTGGAAATGACATTAGGGGCTGTGACTCTCTTTAGCTGAGGCAACCCCCTAAGGTTGACAGTTGAAAGCAACCTCTGGCAGCCCTCTCAATGGCTGCAGAATAAATATTTTATTTCTGAAAGGGAATCCGGGTAGTACATCACAGTACCCCTTACACAAACTTAATCTGGTGATGACTCAATTTGCAGCCATTTTTCTGGATGTTTCTTTTACTAAATACAACAATATGGCCCTGGAACTTTGTTTGAAAATACTGCCTACATGCTTTCTGATCTATTGAATTGGACTGTCTGGACAAAGTTCAAAAACCTGTATTTTATAAAGATCCCCAATAATTATTCTATAGATAGTGGATAGAGCCTCATTTTGGAATCATTGTGCTTCCATAGGCAGTTATAGCTCTATAATTCTGGCCAATGGGATGTTAGTGGAAATACATATACAACTTCTGGATCTTGTCCTTAAGGGAAGAAGCATATATACTACCCTTCTCTCATTCCTCTTTCCTGGTGGCTGGAATAAAAAGGAGACGGTAGAGGACAGTGGAAACCATCATGGGCCATCCAAATGGAAGATAAAGATGCATGTTGAGGATGGTAGAGCAACAAGATAGAAGATGCCAGGTACAGCCATACCTGTTCTGGATCACCTAGCCAGTGTTATGCATAAGAGAGAAATAAACTTATTTTTTGAGTCATCATTTAGGGGTTTGCAATCAGTTTAACTCTTAATACAGAGACAGTGGGTCCTCACCTCCAAAGTGAAGGATGTGCTGTTGCATTTTGTTCACCTATACTAGGAAATAGATCCATATTATTTTGGAAATATCAGAAATACTACATGGATGTCTTTTTAGGTCCGTTCACTGGATGTTCTAAGACCTGCCAACTCTAGAGGGACTTTGACAAAAAAAAAAAAAAAATAGCAGTTCAGACTATGAAAGTTTCTGTAAAAGCTGCTTTAATTTTCAACTCATAATCTGTGCTGATCCAATGGTTCTAGAATAACTTGTAGCAAAAAATAATACTTAGTGGAGCCAATGATGAGTTCTAATATGATCATAGCAATAGAAACTTCAAGGGGCTTGGAGCAAGACCACACCACCTTCTGAAGCAGCTATTCTGCTTTCAACAAATACTAGCTTCTGGCAATACTTCAGTAATAGGTGTCCATGAACTAAAGCACCTCATCCTGGACTTGACATCAGCTTATCTAAACAGCTGTGAAGTTAGGCATTCCTAGCAGCAATCTGTGACTGACCATAAGTCATATGTACAGGAGAGTCTATTCGAGTCTCAAAGGCACAAGCCAGATCCATGATATGGTTTCTTAATGCCCACAATGTGCTACCATATGGCTGCCACATTTCTCTGGATTTATGCTATTTTCTTGGAGGGCGGAATCACTTATGACCATTTGACACAGGATGAAAAGACTCCAAGCTGGATTACCAACAGCCCTGGTGTCAGTGAAAAGTGTACTATGTAGCATTGCAGTCTATGTTAGGAGTGGCTATGGAAAACAGCTGTAAGGGAAAAGGCTCTTTGATGATTGTGCTTGGTAGATGGTTGGCCTGAGGTCAGGATTTACACTGAATTCTTAGAAGTAGCAGATAATTTGTTTAAATAGCCAAGGACTTGAGAAAAATTGCCTTCAAGTTGGGAAGGGGATAAGAATGTTAATTGCACACATTTTACCTCTGTAGATGTTATCCAAGGCACATTTGGATATATATGTATGGTAATATGTATATGAGACAGCAAAGCAGTAGAATGTACAGAAGATGACAGTCATGTTAGTCAACCTCAACTTCTCCTGGCTAACTCCTTCCCTGGTATACCAACTACAAACAGGAGCAGTTTAGAGAGAGAATGATATTTAGTCTAATCTTGATGAGTTTGTAGTACCTAGAGAACATCCAAGGAAAAATGTTAAATTCAAAGTATGTCAATGTGTCTGGAGCTCAGAGAAGAGGTTGGGGTTGGTGATACATCAATACCTACTTGTGTTGAAGAAATTGACCAAAGAGTGAATAAAATGAGAAGAGCAGAATGCAATTGGAAAACTAAAACTTAAAGGATTGGCAAAAGCAAAGCTGTCCACAAGATGTAGGAACATTAACTTACAATGTCAAAGAAACAATGAGGAAAAACATTTCAAGAAAGGAAGAGTTGCCAGGTGCGGTGGTTCACGCCTGTAATCCCAGCCCTATGGGAGGCCGAAGCAGGCGGACTGTTTGAGGTCAGGAGTTCGAAACCAGCCTGAGCAAGAGTGAGACCCCATCTCTACTATAAATAGAAAGAAATTAATTGGCCAACTAATATATATAGAAAAAATTAGCTGGGCATGGTGGCGCATGCCTGTAGTCCCAGCTACTCGGGAGGCTGAGGCAGTAGGATTGCTTGAGCCCAGGAGTTTGAGGTTGCTGTGAGCTAGGCTGACGCCATGGCACTCACTCTAGCCTGGGCAACAAAGTGAGACTCTGTCTCAAAATAAATAAGGAAGAGTAGCTCTATCCAGGAAAATACAAGATGTGCTATATCACCGTTGTTTCTTAGAGCTGAATAGTACTCCATGGTATACATACACCACATTTTATTAATCCACTCATGAATTGATGGGCACTCGGTTATTTCCACAGCTTTGCAATTGTGAATTGTGCTGCTTATAAACATTTGAGTGCAAGTGTCTTTTTTGTAGAGTGTCATTTGATCTTTTGGGTAGATGCCCAGTAATAGGATTGCTAGATCAAATGGTAGATCCACTTGTATCACTTTAAGATATCTCCATATTGTTTTCCACAGAGGTTGAACTAGTTTGCAGTCGCACCAGCAGTGTAAGAGTGCTCATCTCTCCGCGTCCACGCCAACATCTATTGTTTTGAGACTTTTTGATAAAGGCTATTCTTATTGGAAATAAGTGATATCTCATGGTAGTTTTGATTTGCATTTCCCTGATGATTAGAGAGCTGGAACCCATACTACTAAGTGAAGTATCCCAAGAATGGAAAAACAATCACCACATATACTCACCAGCAAACTAGTATTAACTGAGCAGCACTTAGGTGGACACATAGGAACTACATTAATTGGGTATGGGCGGGTGGCATATACATACATAATGAGAGATGTGCACCGTCTAGGAGATGGTCACACTTGAAGCTCAGCCTTGTGGGGAGAGGGAGGCAAGGGCATTATTTGAAACCTTAAAATTTGTACCCCCATAATATGCTGAAATAAAAAAGGAGTAGAAATGATGCCAGGCCCTAGAGAGAGAACTATAAGGAGGTCACAATGTCCTAGCAGAGGGAGTTTGTAGTAGGTTGAAAGGGGTGCTGTAACTGGCATAGAGAAGTGGGAAAGGAGAACAAAGACTCTATTTTCAGTAAGGGAAGGAATGAAACAGGATAATGGCCTTAAGGAACTGAAGGGTAGAAGAAAAGTACATTGGAGATTTGTGATGTGATTCAGTTTCTCTGTGACTTGCAGAATTCTTATTGCTATAATAAATACACATGCTCACTTGTTGCTTGCAAAGTTATTTTTATTTTTCATATGCCATCAATATTTTAAGAGAATACAATGCCTCATAATGGGAACTCATTTTTTTTTTTTGAGTGAGATACAAATGTTTAGTTATTCTCACTATTTAATGACTGTTTTTGTTAATTTACAAAATAAATACCTGGCCTGTTGCAACTGGGAAGGTAATGTTACCATTAACTGTACATTGAGGTTGTAGATTGCTGGCACATGTCTAAACAAGAACAGGTCGTGGTGTGCCTATATCTGTAAGTTATTGTACTGCCATCAGGGCAGTCCAGAATAATGTCTCTCAACTCATAGTTTTCTTCTCGGCAGCAAAGGCATGAATTTTCCAACTGAAAGGTATCATAATTGTACCTAAAAGAAAAAAAATTCAGTAATATTTTTAGAAAGTCCTTTGAAATAAACTGATATCAGTGCTCAAATTCTAATTGTTTGATATCAGTGCTCAAATTCTAATTGTTTAAGTGACTTAGCAAACCTTCCAACCAATTTATTCTTTTCCTAGACCTTGTATTCCCCCGCTCACTATAAACTTCTGATGTAGATCAGTGATAATTGGTACATAAGACCAAAAGAAATAATTCTAAAAAAGTCTATAGTCTCAGTATTATAGTGCAAAAAAGTACACAAGGTAGATTTTTAAATACAATTTAATACCAATTATCTATATTGATCTATATATGAAACTATATATAAAGGAAAACATCTAAAATTCAAGTTTAGAAACAATTTGAGAAATTTACTTCCTTGGTTAAGTACATTCTGTAGTCACCGGGTGAAGATGAATACATTTGCCACAAATGTATTGTTAAGCATATTCAGAAAACTACTTCAGAATGACTCATCACTATTTAAAATGTGTATTTTAATTTTCAAATCTTAATAGATATGTTTCATTAAGCCCCGATCATAAAGCAGCATTTGCTCTCACATAAAAATTTCTCCATATAATGATTTAAAAGCTTAATTTCCACCTCCCACATACAAGGTTACAAAGTTAATGCACAGTACAAATTCAGAGGAAAACTCACTTGACAGTCTTTTTGCATTCCCCTAAGCATCTTGCCATCTTAACTCTTTTGTTGCAACCATTGTAGTGAACAGTCACATTTATAGGTGAAGATTTACAGTCACTCTTACCTAAAACAAAATGGATAAGACTCAGAAGTGAGGTTTAACATTAACAATTGCTAAGCTTCAATTTTCTTAACCATAAAGAATAGCAACTACTTCAGTGTTATGAGGGGATTAACTATGTCATCAGCCAGTACAAGGTGGGTAGTTAACTCAAGTGGATGCTGTCTTGTTAGTGCTATTATTACTATCACAGGTGAAGGGTGAAGGAGAAGGGTAGGGCAAAGTAGGAGGAAAAGACAGAAGGGAAGAAAGGGGAAAACAGGAAGATGGATTATTTTTTACATCTATTTTTCTCACTGCTAATCATCCCAATGATCTGATAATAAGAACTTATAACTTGCTGAGATCAGAAGAGCAAGCCAATTTTTTCCATGAAAATTAATTTTTTCTTGTAAACACCACTGGTTTTTAGTGGGAAGAACGCTGCAATCGACATGAATAAATAACCATAATATGTTACGTACAAATATCAATTGGTAATTTTTATATATATATAGGTTAGGTTACCTGCTGTGTTAAAAATACAGGAGACTTTCTTTTACTGATTCTGCCATTTTGTTTTAAAGAAACACTGAATTTTTGTCAACAACTTACATTTCCTCTCTATGTGGAGCTCAACTTTACTTACATGTATAGCAACACTTTCCTGAATCATAGATTCTGTCTTCCTGTAGGGGTAAGAGAAAAGAAAAATTAGAAAATTTCTCTCAACTTTTTTCATAATACTTAATTTATTGAAATAGCATCACAAAAGGGGACATGAAACATAGATAATCTGATCTCAGATCCAGTAAGCAGGGGTGGGAAAGCAATGAGATGACCTGAGTGATAAAAATAAAACTGAGTATTTAGACTAAAACTTTTTAACAATGGGTAGAAAGGAAAATAATATTTAAAATATTTATTTTTAAAGATGCAATAAAAAATTCCTCACATATTGAAAAATACCAGTGATACTACTAGACACTATATGCTTCACATGTGTAGAATCTGTACCTTTCACTCAGATATTGATAGGCTTAAAATTATAACAGTAAAAGCTTAATATTGAAATCCAGTATTGGAGTTCTAAAAACTTTTCAGAAAAAACTGAATTTTAAACCTCTTTATAATTTAAACTTAACCATTCATTAATACAAAACTCCATCATATTTGAGAGGCATAGAAAGAAGGAAAACTGTGGCACAAAGAGACCTTAACAGCACATGTTTATGTGAGTCTATAAAAATACAAATTTATGATATACAATGATTAACCTGATTCCATGAGCTACTGGGAAAAAAAATGGTGGGATTTTTTTGTTGTTTAAAGATAGCCAAATGCCTTCTATAATAACTTCTAGAATAGTACTAAAGTAATTGTTATATAGCCTGAAAAATGAGCCTTTATTGTTAAGTACATTTTTCATATCAAGAAAGGGTGGACATAGGTGGAATCCTCTGGCTCTGGATGAAATAAATTTGTTTAAAAATATATGGAATCTGTTAGAGATCTATGTGTTAGTGAGACACAAACTTTTTCAAATAAGAAAGACAGGTTGGGTTTGTGTTCAACATGAGAGGTGAATCTTGTTGCTTAGTTAGGAAGATGACTTACTTCTGCACACCAGGTCTGCTTTGGGCAGTTCTGGACCACTGCCACGAGGCCAGTGTGATTGCAGGAGTAGGAGACACACGGGTTGCTGGGGTCCTCAAATGAAGCACCAATCTAGTAGGGGGGCGGGGAGAAAAAAAAAACAGTTAAAAAAATTCAAATTCACACTTAAGAAAGCCGTCTACTTCCATGAAGAAATCAAAGTTCTCCAATGAGAACACAGACTACGTTAAGATTCTCAATACTCAAATTAAGATTCACCAACATTTATTGTATTTTCATGACTTTTTAAAGAACAGTTATTTGATCAAGCAGTTTGCCAACTGTCATGTTCTAAGATTAAAGGAAAACAAATAAGAAATGTTAAGTGGGGGAGGGAAGGCACAAAATATGTTTATCGGATTAGAATAAATGGCAAGTATTAACAAGATGTCTTCTATTTATGCTTTTGTCCCTATACTTTTAAATCTTTCTAGATTCCTCTATAATTAGCTCATGTTCAATATTACAACAACAGTTTGAGAAGCCATCAGGGACTCAGACAAGATGAACTTTCTGATAAACCAAAATTTTACTATTTCAACTATTTTGCATATAAACAATTAGAAGAAATTTTCCCTTTTGTTCCTGAAATATTATCATATGCAGGTTCAAATCAACTTTGGAAACTAAAAATTTCCAAAGAAGCCCATGTGAAAATAAAAGCCCTCACAGGCTGTTTTATCTATTTCCTAACACACCACATATGTTTTTAGATTTTTAAATTAATATTTGGTATCACCGTTCAAATGTGTTAATATCAATTTGAGAATAATCTGATTTTTATGACTCCCTGCTACTTTTTCTAAAAAGTTAAATTACTGTCTAAAATGCCAAATCACTTGTCAAAATCCAGCCTTGAATATACTATGTTGCTGTAGCCACATAATGGAGTTCTAGTCCTTTGGGTTTTCATATTTGATCTCTGAAAGTTTGGCCATCTGATCTTTCTGGTTATAATTACAGTTTAACTCTGTTCATTGATTTGAATGTTACAAAGTGTGTCTTCTCCATCTGGCAAGGCCCATGGGAAATTTTGTTCAGAAGGTCCACTGCTGAGTAGTTAATGATCAAGTTCTATATTTTTCCCCTTTGAAGAGAGGCATGGTGAGTGTTACATTTGATGTTCCTTTGGAAATGGATATGGGGAAAAAACTGAACAGGTTCCAATCCACCATTACTATTTTTTTCTTTCCATATTATAAGCTGAAAGTCCCTTGGTACCCATTATATTTATTCATATAATTTAACAAAGATATTTTAATGAAGATCTTACCCCATAGTCAGTATTGTTAAATGAACATGTTCTTGGTTCTGAAAATTAAATACATTTTGTAAATAAAAATTTTGATGGTTATTTTAGAACAAATTGTAGATAGAATCACAATTACCAAATCTCCCTTTAATATACTGAGTATTATTAATACACCTGTCTAGTATTGTTTGACAAATATTAGTTCAAAATTTCTTGAATATGAATAAATAATGAACAGATTCAATGGAAATAACATTATGAATACACACCACAGTATCCGATTTCACAGCAGGTATCATTAGATTTGAACTTTACAAGTTTCTCTCCAGTTTTGCATGTGGGTGGAGAAGGGCACTCCTTAGGTTTGCAGTCTACAGTCTTTGCAGCAGTACAGGTACATTGGTGGCAATTGCTAGTCCATGTGTCTCCAGGCTACATATACAAACCAAGTTTAGACTTCTATTCAAATAAAAGAATGACGGAGATTTTGGATTAAAGTAGAGCTAAACTGTATACTTACAGTTTTCTCTTCTCCCAGTGGACCATGACAAACTGTTGAAATGAAATGATAAATGGTAATTAAATTTGGCAAAATATAACCATCTGTTATTTATAGATAACCACCAGGTGGCTAATACTGTAATTGGCAGTAGGATTTCAGAGTCACAGAATTATGGAGGATTATAGGGTGCCTTAAGGTGGATAAATCACATCTACTTGCTTCAAGCAACTTCCTAACAAGCATATCCTATTTTTGCAATCCCCAGCAAAGGATAATTCTTAATTTCTCCTGGCAGTATTTGATAAATCTTATGGCTACTAACTGACTTACTGTTTTACAGTCTGACTTCTGCTTCCACAATCCTACAAGTTACCAATTTTTCCTTTCTTCAGATTGAACACTATGAAACTCCTGTCTTTATTAGCAGCTCTTCTTACTCATTTTGTCTCTATTCTTCCTTCCATCTCCACAATGTCTATGGTGACATCAAGTGGATGGCTCTCAAACTTCCAGTCCTGACCTCTCTTGTGAGCCATTGACCTAGTTCTCTCTCTACCTAATAAATAGCATCCCAGTAGATTTGTAAGAACCTCAAATAATCTGTGCACAACAGATTGTATCATCGTGCCTGGAACTCCAGCTTCTCTTCTAAACTGGCTTCCTCCTGTTAAGGACAGAACTATTCTTTTAGTCATTCAAACTGAAAACTTAGGACCCATTCGGTTCTTTCCATCACTTGGCATGTACCGCCAAATCCTGTATCTTTACCTCACTTTCATCTCTTCCTTTCCTTGTTCTACTTGCTACAACACTACTGCAAGGTCTTATCTTTGATCTAGCATACACTACTAGCTTTTTGAAGGGATTACTCTGATACAGAGCTCTTCCTGATTCAGTCAATTCTCTGCAAAATAGTTAAAACAATTTTCTAAAGTCTAATTCTTATCTCGATACTGCTTTGATTAAAAACTCTTGGTGGCACCTTGATCTAGCTTTTAACTTCCAAGGTCTCCCATATTGCGACAGAAACCCATCTTTCTCAACTTTGTCTCACTTCTCTCATTTACCTGGCCCTGCATTAATCTACATGTTGTTTTTAAACTCTAATTCTGTAATAAAATACCTGGGGATTCCTTGAAAATATATAACATGTGATATAAAATATTATATAGAGTGTGCATGTTATATATGTTTTACTGTGAAATTTTCTGCCTGATATAAAAATTTTGTGTTTGAAAATCTCCCTTCTCCCACTATGAATGAATTCTTTACTATTTTTTTTCCATGTGCTGCAAAGCATATCACATTGTCTTGATAATAGTAGTAACTCAAAGTTCTCTAAAATTACTGAACTCTGGATAACATGAATTTTTATAGCTATAGTTAAACCCTCAAAAAAGTTGTAATTATCAAGTTTTAAAAATGTTCACTATCAAGTGGCAATATTTTGATCAAGATATCATCTAAGTAACCAGGTATATTTGTTTGGCTTCATTTGTGAAGGTGAAAACAGACTGTTACTCCCTATTTGGTGAATAAGAGCTAAATTCATCTACCTTAAGTTTTCCTATCTTATAACATTTCTATGTCTAGTGAGTTATTAGCATGACCTCTGAAACTTGATTTACAAGAGGAACCATTATTCTGCAGTGGTGGCGTTCTTACCTGGAGCAGGTGGAAGTGATGCTAGACATTCTGGGTAAAAAGAGGAAACTCATGTTAGTCTCTGAGTTTGTTGGAGTAGTGATGGGGCAAGTTATCCTAATTTATCACTCTATTGCTGGAAATAATTGGCTCCATAGCCAGTCTTACAAAAACAGACATATTCCCATTTATCTTCCCTTTTTGCTCCTCATTGCATTTGAAATTCTACCATTAGAGAGTATGTCCTTTGGCACCTGAAATTTTAATGGGAAGGAAATGTGAAAATCAAGAGAAAAAAATAGAAAACATCCAGGTAAACTCTTCAAAATTTTCTTGGAAGACAGTTTAATGAATAGAACAATAAAATAAATAACCAAACAAGAATAAAGATAATTCAGATATAGAATGAAATAAGTACTATTGATTATCTGCTTTTGATCCTTTAAAAATTTTCTTATCTTCTTGAAGTACTTCAATTTTGCTCTATCTCCACCTCCACAAGATTGCAGGAGTTAGGAGACCACACGGGTTGCTGGGTCCTCAAATGAAGCACCAATCTGTGGGGGGCGGGAGAAAAAAAAAAACAGTTTAAAAAAATTCAAATTCACACTTAAGAAGCCGTCTACTTCCATGAGAAATCAAAGTTCTCCAATTGAGAACACTAGTCTACGTTAAGATCCTCATACTCAAATTAAGATTCACCAACATTGTATTGATTTTCATGACTTTTTAAAGAACAGTTATTTGATCAAGCAAGCTTTGCCAATGTCATCGTCTAAGTAAAGGAACAATAAAAATGCTTAGTGCGGGGAGGGAAGCCAAAATATGCTTTATCGGATTAGAATCAAATGCAAGTATTAACAACGATGGCTCTTCTCATTTATGCCTTTTGTCCCTATACTTTTAAATCCTTTCTAGATTCCTCTACTATTACAGCTTCATGTTCAATATTACAAACAGTTTTTGAGAAGCATCAGCGGATCAGACCAAGATGAACTTTCTGATAAACCAAAATTTTAACTATTTCAACTATTTTGCATACTAAACAATTAGAAGAACTTTTTAGCCTTTTGTTCCTGAATAATTATCCTAATGCAGGTTCAAATCAACTTTGGAAACTAAAAATTTCCAAAGAAGCGCCCATGTGAAATAAAAAAGCCCTCACAGGCTGTTTTATCTACCTTTCCTCAACACACCACATATGTTTTTTAGATTTTTAAATTAATATTTTGGTATCACCGTTCAAATATGTTCTCAATATCAATTGAGGAATAATCTGATTTTTATGAATCCCTGCTACTTTTCTAAAAAGTTAATTACCTGTCTAAATGGGCCAAATCACTTTGTCAAGAATCACAGCCTTGAATATACATATGTTGCTGTGCCACATAATGGAGCTTCTAGTCCTTTGGGTTTATCAATATTTGATCTCCTGACATTGGCCATACTGATCTTTCTGGTTACTACATTACAGTTTCTAAACTCTGTTCATTGATTTGAATGTTACAAAGTGTGTCTTCTCCATCTGGCAAGGGCCCATGGGAAATTTTGGTTCAGAAGGTCTCACTGCTTGAGTAGTTAATGACAATTCTATATTTTTCACCTTTGAAGAGAGGCCATGGTGAGTGTTACTTTGATGTTCCTTTGAAATGGATATGGGTAAAAAACTGAAACAGGTTCCAATCCACCATCTACCTATTCTTTTTCTTTCCATACTTATAAGCTGAAAGTCCCTTGGTACCCATTTATCTATTCAGTAATAATCTTAACAAGATATTTTAATGAAGATCTTACCCCATAGTCCAGTATTGTTAAATGAAACATGTTCTTGGTTCTGAAAATTAAATACATTTTGTAAATAAATTTGTGGTTATTTTAGAACAAATTGTAGATAGAATCCACAATTTACAAATCCACCTTTAATATACATAGTTTTCTTCTCGGCAGCAAAGGCATGAATTTTCCAACTGAAAGGTATCATAATTGTACCTAAAAGAAAAAAAATTCAGTAATATTTTTAGAAAGTCCTTTGAAATAAACTGATATCAGTGCTCAAATTCTAATTGTTTGATATCAGTGCTCAAATTCTAATTGTTTAAGTGACTTAGCAAACCTTCCAACCAATTTATTCTTTTCCTAGACCTTGTATTCCCCCGCTCACTATAAACTTCTGATGTAGATCAGTGATAATTGGTACATAAGACCAAAAGAAATAATTCTAAATAAGTCTATAGTCTCAGTATTATAGCGCAAAAAAGTACACAAGGTAGATTTTTAAATACAATTTAATACCAATTATCTATATTGATCTATATATGAAACTATATATAAAGGAAAACATCTAAAATTCAAGTTTAGAAACAATTTGAGAAATTTACTTCCTTGGTTAAGTACATTCTGTAGTCACCGGGTGAAGATGAATACATTTGCCACAAATGTATTGTTAAGCATATTCAGAAAACTACTTCAGAATGACTCATCACTATTTAAAATGTGTATTTTAATTTTCAAATCTTAATAGATATGTTTCATTAAGCCCCGATCATAAAGCAGCATTTGCTCTCACATAAAAATTTCTCCATATAATGATTTAAAAGCTTAATTTCCACCTCCCACATACAAGGTTACAAAGTTAATGCACAGTACAAATTCAGAGGAAAACTCACTTGACAGTCTTTTTGCATTCCCCTAAGCATCTTGCCATCTTAACTCTTTTGTTGCAACCATTGTAGTGAACAGTCACATTTATAGGTGAAGATTTACAGTCACTCTTACCTAAAACAAAATGGATAAGACTCAGAAGTGAGGTTTAACATTAACAATTGCTAAGCTTCAATTTTCTTAACCATAAAGAATAGCAACTACTTCAGTGTTATGAGGGGATTAACTATGTCATCAGCCAGTACAAGGTGGGTGTTAACTCAAGTGGATGCTGTCTTGTTAGTGCTATTATTACTATCACAGGTGAAGGGTGAAGGAGAAGGGTAGGGCAAAGTAGGAGGAAAAGACAGAAGGGAAGAAAGGGGAAAACAGGAAGATGGATTATTTTTTACATCTATTTTTCTCACTGCTAATCATCCCAATGATCTGATATAAGAACTTATAACTTGCTGAGATCAGAAGAGCAAGCCAATTTTTTCCATGAAAATTAATTTTTTCTTGTAAACACCACTGGTTTTTAGTGGGAAGAACGCTGCAATCGACATGAATAAATAACCATAATATGTTACGTACAAATATCAATTGGTAATTTTTATATATATATAGGTTAGGTTACCTGCTGTGTTAAAAATACAGGAGACTTTCTTTTACTGATTCTGCCATTTTGTTTTAAAGAAACACTGAATTTTTGTCAACAACTTACATTTCCTCTCTATGTGGAGCTCAACTTTACTTACATGTATAGCAACACTTTCCTGAATCATAGATTCTGTCTTCCTGTAGGGGTAAGAGAAAAGAAAAATTAGAAAATTTCTCCCAACTTTTTTCATAATACTTAATTTATTGAAATAGCATCACAAAAGGGGACATGAAACATAGATAATCTGATCTCAGATCCAGTAAGCAGGGGTGGGAAAGCAATGAGATGACCTGAGTGATAAAAATAAAACTGAGTATTTAGACTAAAACTTTTTAACAATGGGTAGAAAGGAAAATAATATTTAAAATATTTATTTTTAAAGATGCAATAAAAAATTCCTCACATATTGAAAAATACCAGTGATACTACTAGACACTATATGCTTCACATGTGTAGAATCTGTACCTTTCACTCAGATATTGATAGGCTTAAAATTATAACAGTAAAAGCTTAATATTGAAATCCAGTATTGGAGTTCTAAAAACTTTTCAGAAAAAACTGAATTTTAAACCTCTTTATAATTTAAACTTAACCATTCATTAATACAAAACTCCATCATATTTGAGAGGCATAGAAATGAAGGAAAACTGTGGCACAAAGAGACCTTAACAGCACATGTTTATGTGAGTCTATAAAAATACAAATTTATGATATACAATGATTAACCTGATTCCATGAGCTACTGGAAAAAAAAATGGTGGGATTTTTTTGTTGTTTAAAGATAGCCAAATGCCTTCTATAATAACTTCTAGAATAGTACTAAAGTAATTGTTATATAGCCTGAAAAATGAGCCTTTATTGTTAAGTACATTTTTCATATCAAGAAAGGGTGGACATAGGTGGAATCCTCTGGCTCTGGATGAAATAAATTTGTTTAAAAATATATGGAATCTGTTAGAGATCTATGTGTTAGTGAGACACAAACTTTTTCAAATAAGAAAGACAGGTTGGGTTTGTGTTCAACATGAGAGGTGAATCTTGTTGCTTAGTTAGGAAGATGACTTACTTCTGCACACCAGGTCTGCTTTGGGCAGTTCTGGACCACTGCCACGAGGCCAGTGTGATTGCAGGAGTAGGAGACACACGGGTTGCTGGGGTCCTCAAATGAAGCACCAATCTAGTAGGGGGGCGGGGAGAAAAAAAAAACAGTTAAAAAAATTCAAATTCACACTTAAGAAAGCCGTCTACTTCCATGAAGAAATCAAAGTTCTCCAATGAGAACACAGACTACGTTAAGATTCTCAATACTCAAATTAAGATTCACCAACATTTATTGTATTTTCATGACTTTTTAAAGAACAGTTATTTGATCAAGCAGTTTGCCAACTGTCATGTTCTAAGATTAAAGGAAAACAAATAAGAAATGTTAAGTGGGGGAGGGAAGGCACAAAATGTTTATCGGATTAGAATAAATGGCAAGTATTAACAAGATGTCTTCTATTTATGCTTTTGTCCCTATACTTTTAAATCTTTCTAGATTCCTCTATAATTAGCTCATGTTCAATATTACAACAACAGTTTGAGAAGCCATCAGGGACTCAGACAAGATGAACTTTCTGATAAACCAAAATTTTACTATTTCAACTATTTTGCATATAAACAATTAGAAGAAATTTTCCCTTTTGTTCCTGAAATATTATCATATGCAGGTTCAAATCAACTTTGGAAACTAAAAATTTCCAAAGAAGCCCATGTGGAAATAAAAGCCCTCACAGGCTGTTTTATCTATTTCCTAACACACCACATATGTTTTTAGATTTTTAAATTAATATTTGGTATCACCGTTCAAATGTGTTAATATCAATTTGAGAATAATCTGATTTTTATGACTCCCTGCTACTTTTTCTAAAAAGTTAAATTACTGTCTAAAATGCCAAATCACTTGTCAAAATCCAGCCTTGAATATACTATGTTGCTGTAGCCACATAATGGAGTTCTAGTCCTTTGGGTTTTCATATTTGATCTCTGAAAGTTTGGCCATCTGATCTTTCTGGTTATAATTACAGTTTAACTCTGTTCATTGATTTGAATGTTACAAAGTGTGTCTTCTCCATCTGGCAAGGCCCATGGGAAATTTTGTTCAGAAGGTCCACTGCTGAGTAGTTAATGATCAAGTTCTATATTTTTCCCCTTTGAAGAGAGGCATGGTGAGTGTTACATTTGATGTTCCTTTGGAAATGGATATGGGGAAAAAACTGAACAGGTTCCAATCCACCATTACTATTTTTTTCTTTCCATATTATAAGCTGAAAGTCCCTTGGTACCCATTATATTTATTCATATAATTTAACAAAGATATTTTAATGAAGATCTTACCCCATAGTCAGTATTGTTAAATGAACATGTTCTTGGTTCTGAAAATTAAATACATTTTGTAAATAAAAATTTTGATGGTTATTTTAGAACAAATTGTAGATAGAATCACAATTACCAAATCTCCCTTTAATATACTGAGTATTATTAATACACCTGTCTAGTATTGTTTGACAAATATTAGTTCAAAATTTCTTGAATATGAATAAATAATGAACAGATTCAATGGAAATAACATTATGAATACACACCACAGTATCCGATTTCACAGCAGGTATCATTAGATTTGAACTTTACAAGTTTCTCTCCAGTTTTGCATGTGGGTGGAGAAGGGCACTCCTTAGGTTTGCAGTCTACAGTCTTTGCAGCAGTACAGGTACATTGGTGGCAATTGCTAGTCCATGTGTCTCCAGGCTACATATACAAACCAAGTTTAGACTTCTATTCAAATAAAAGAATGAGGGAGATTTTGGATTAAAGTAGAGCTAAACTGTATACTTACAGTTTTCTCTTCTCCCAGTGGACCATGACAAACTGTTGAAATGAAATGATAAATGGTAATTAAATTTGGCAAAATATAACCATCTGTTATTTATAGATAACCACCAGGTGGCTAATACTGTAATTGGCAGTAGGATTTCAGAGTCACAGAATTATGGAGGATTATAGGGTGCCTTAAGGTGGATAAATCACATCTACTTGCTTCAAGCAACTTCCTAACAAGCATATCCTATTTTTGCAATCCCCAGCAAAGGATAATTCTTAATTTCTCCTGGCAGTATTTGATAAATCTTATGGCTACTAACTGACTTACTGTTTTACAGTCTGACTTCTGCTTCCACAATCCTACAAGTTACCAATTTTTCCTTTCTTCAGATTGAACACTATGAAACTCCTGTCTTTATTAGCAGCTCTTCTTACTCATTTTGTCTCTATTCTTCCTTCCATCTCCACAATGTCTATGGTGACATCAAGTGGATGGCTCTCAAACTTCCAGTCCTGACCTCTCTTGTGAGCCATTGACCTAGTTCTCTCTCTACCTAATAAATAGCATCCCAGTAGATTTGTAAGAACCTCAAATAATCTGTGCACAACAGATTGTATCATCGTGCCTGGAACTCCAGCTTCTCTTCTAAACTGGCTTCCTCCTGTTAAGGACAGAACTATTCTTTTAGTCATTCAAACTGAAAACTTAGGACCATTCGGTTCTTTCCATCACTTGGCATGTACCGCCAAATCCTGTATCTTTACCTCACTTTCATCTCTTCCTTTCCTTGTTCTACTTGCTACAACACTACTGCAAGGTCTTATCTTTGATCTAGCATACACTACTAGCTTTTTGAAGGGATTACTCTGATACAGAGCTCTTCCTGATTCAGTCAATTCTCTGCAAAATAGTTAAAACAATTTTCTAAAGTCTAATTCTTATCTCGATACTGCTTTGATTAAAAACTCTTGGTGGCACCTTGATCTAGCTTTTAACTTCCAAGGTCTCCCATATTGCGACAGAAACCCATCTTTCTCAACTTTGTCTCACTTCTCTCATTTACCTGGCCCTGCATTAATCTACATGTTGTTTTTAAACTCTAATTCTGTAATAAAATACCTGGGGATTCCTTGAAAATATATAACATGTGATATAAAATATTATATAGAGTGTGCATGTTATATATGTTTTACTGTGAAATTTTCTGCCTGATATAAAAATTTTGTGTTTGAAAATCTCCCTTCTCCCACTATGAATGAATTCTTTACTATTTTTTTTCCATGTGCTGCAAAGCATATCACATTGTCTTGATAATAGTAGTAACTCAAAGTTCTCTAAAATTACTGAACTCTGGATAACATGAATTTTTATAGCTATAGTTAAACCCTCAAAAAAGTTGTAATTATCAAGTTTTAAAAATGTTCACTATCAAGTGGCAATATTTTGATCAAGATATCATCTAAGTAACCAGGTATATTTGTTTGGCTTCATTTGTGAAGGTGAAAACAGACTGTTACTCCCTATTTGGTGAATAAGAGCTAAATTCATCTACCTTAAGTTTTCCTATCTTATAACATTTCTATGTCTAGTGAGTTATTAGCATGACCTCTGAAACTTGATTTACAAGAGGAACCATTATTCTGCAGTGGTGGCGTTCTTACCTGGAGCAGGTGGAAGTGATGCTAGACATTCTGGGTAAAAAGAGGAAACTCATGTTAGTCTCTGAGTTTGTTGGAGTAGTGATGGGGCAAGTTATCTTAATTTATCACTCTATTGCTGGAAATAATTGGCTCCATAGCCAGTCTTACAAAAACAGACATATTCCCATTTATCTTCCCTTTTTGCTCCTCATTGCATTTGAAATTCTACCATTAGAGAGTATGTCCTTTGGCACCTGAAATTTTAATGGGAAGGAAATGTGAAAATCAAGAGAAAAAAATAGAAAACATCCAGGTAAACTCTTCAAAATTTTCTTGGAAGACAGTTTAATGAATAGAACAATAAAATAAATAACCAAACAAGAATAAAGATAATTCAGATATAGAATGAAATAAGTACTATTGATTATCTGCTTTTGATCCTTTAAAAATTTTCTTATCTTCTTGAAGTACTTCAATTTTGCTCTATCTCCACCTCCACAAATGCTTTAAACTGATCATAAGCATCTTCTGAGACTTCACACATCACATATTTTTGGTCAACTCAACAATCCACTCACAAATTTCAAATTCTATTCTAAAACTGCTAAAAACCAAATATTTTATTCTACCTACCAAGAAAAAAGCTGGCCTAGGAATAACAGAATATTTTAAAAGAACTTAAAATTTCTACATATTTAGAAAGTGACCAAATATTAATAACAAGTATAAAAATATAGATAAAAGAGAGTTAGAGACATTTGATCCCCCAAATTTCAAATCTTTAACTCCTTATGGAGGAAGGCTAGACTAATTCCTAATTATCAATGCTTAGCAGAAACTAGAAATAGGAGAGAGAAGTGATCAGTTAAGCATAAATACAGCAGAAAATCTTCTCTTATCAGGAATGCAAGAGTTCATTGGAGATAATTGTAAGAGGAGCCATAAAGAACAATCTCCTAATCTTCATACTGCTACCAGAATAATTTCTCTAAAACAAGTATCTGATCATTATCGTTCTCTTGATAGAATTCTTAAGGAGATCTCATTGACTGTAAGGATAAAGTCTCATTTAAGTTTGGAAAGGTAAGTAAAGTTCATGAAGAACCAATCTCATTTCCTCCCTGAACCTCACATAGTCATTGCCAGCACCTGGTTGATTCCTGAACACTCCCCTGTGGTCTCCTGTCTTTGTCCCTTCAAGGGCAGTTTGGCAGGAATTCCCTTCCCACCTCAGCCCATGTTAAACTCCATCATCTCCTTTCTGATGCCCCCACTCACACTACCAACTGATAAGCAGAAACTAACACCCCAACCCCTGGGACAATACATGTTTCAGGGTTGTTAAATATGCAGTAATGATAATATCTGTGCCCATAATCTCTACCCCCCCACACACAAAATATAAAATGGAAAATGCTGTACCTTACTGATGTGTTTGCTATTTATAAAATAAAGAAGCATTAGTTGAAATAGTAACAAAGAAATTAGAGCTTTTCCCATACTGACCTGTATTATTTTCAGTTTCTCGATCCCCTGTTGCCACTACAGTGGTTTCTGAGGGAAAATAAAAGGAAGGTATTGTGATTTTATTAGAACAACATGCACATACCAAGCCTGTGTGTACAGGCAGGCACAGATGACAGCACAAATTCATGCTCAAGGAAAGCGTCGTGTGGAATAGACGAGTTATTAGGTTCATATGGGGCATTTCATTTTACCTGGCTGGGATACGTGTGGGCTTGTTGTGACTCCTGCTGAAACTGCAGTGGAACCTGCAAGAGGAAATGTAAAATACTGTAGGACTTGCACCCCTCCTCATCCCCTTCTCACAATTCACGAACTGCATGAATAAGTCTTCAGGAAGGGAGCGCCAGTAAAAGCTTAAACCAAAAACTCCCAGGGAAGAAAGGTGTACACTCAGTGGAATAACAAAGTCATGTTCCCCTCAAAAAGCCAAAGGCTGTCTTCTCTGCCCCTCTCTCCCTTTCTACTATCCCTTGCTCTCTATGTATAATCAAAGCCACCCTGATCATTCACCTGTTTGCACTCCAGTTCTAGAGGTTTCTTTGACTCCTGTAGAAGCCTTAACTGCTAAGAAAGGAACAAAAGTGGTGAAAGTACCGGGACCTAGAGAAGCTAGAATTTATCTTCATTTAAAATTTAAATTTATTTTGAAAAAATTGACAGATAAAACTATTATGTATAATTTTTTAGGAATATATACATTGTGGAATGAGTCAATCTAGCCTATTAACATATGGCATTACCTCACTTATTTTATGGTGAGAACACACTCTTAGCATTTTGCAAGAATACTATATATAAACTAGTTAGTTGTGAAGGATAATAGATCTCTTGAACTTATTCCTAACTAAAATTTTGTATCCTTTGACTAACATCTCCCCAAGCCCACCCCCTACACACAAACTACCCCAGCCCCTGATAAATTACCATTCTATTCTCTACTTCTATGCAAACTGCAGATAAGCTGTCCTGAGATGCCGCCAAGAAAAAATTCATTTATTATTATTTGACTTACCTGTGGTAGAAATTCCAGGAGCAATGGTTGTTTCAGATGCTTCATTGGTGGTACCTAAAATGAGCAAGGGAAGAACAATAAACCTTTTCTGGTTTGAGAAGAGGATGTGCCCTAAGACACCTCCACATGGAACCAGAGTGTCAAAGCACATGGAGCATACCAATGCATCTAACGCCAAGCTCAGGCCCCTGCTATTGAAACATTAGGAGGTTCCTGTCTCAGCACTCCTTGCTCACAGAGGTGAACTGAATGTTTTCTTATAACCCTGATAAAGTTTTCACTTCTGAGTCCCCCTTCTCTAAGTGAAGAGTGCTTTCCTCACATGTAACTGTTTTACTTCATGTAACTTGGTTTCCTGGTTCTCCTGTATTAGTTCATGGGTTGCAGGAAAAGAAGTTATAAGAGAATGAGGGAAAATGTCTGTGATGACCAAGATTTCAGCCTCTACTCTCTCCCCTAGCCCCAGAAACCCAGAACAAAAAAACAACTCTAGATGGCCAGAAAAAATAAATTCTCTAATGTGATTCTATCCCATTTCCTGGGCCTGTATCTTTATCCTCAATATCCCCCTATGTTGAAGCAACAGGAGTTGTTAATGAGAAACCAACAGATTTAAACCACTGACACTTATTTACTCCTAAGAAAGGCAAAGAAGAATGAGGTAGGTACAACACAGCTGTTGTAGCTATGCTGATGCGACAGCTGTCAGTTCCGAAAAAGGGATCTTATTTTTCTAGTCCTAGACAGAGTTACTTACTAAATATTTATTTACCTGTGTTGGAACCTCCAGAAATAGCTGTTGTGCCAGAGGCTGTGCCGTTGGTGCCTGTAATAGGAGGGAAGAATAAGTCTCGCAAAGTTTTTCTGGTATTAAGAAGAATATGGTATTGTCAGGTTTTCCCCTTCCTCTAAAGCAACAGAAAACAATTTAACACATTTTCTTGCACCAAATTTTAGGCCTGGCCTGTTTTCCAATTTGCTTTCATGATTGCATGAGGGAGAAGAGTCGCAATTGCCTTCTAGATCTGAATTTTCTACATCTAAAATCATCTAGACTGTTTATTAGGGAATGTTTTTCTTATATGCATATGTAAAGTTTTCTAAATTAAATGTAAGAAGAAGTTCTCCAGGGGAAGAAAAACAAATTGACTAAACTTGTGATCAAGGGTTAGGCATCTTAAGGAAAGCCTTACTTAGCAAAATTACTTGTATTTATTCTAGTAAATTCTACTGACCTTCTTGGCTGCTGGTGACTCCCATTGATCGTGTGGTGTTGCCTGAGAAAACAAGGAGTAAAGAAATGATGTCTAGAGAATTACATCTATAATATGTCCTTTGGGAAAAACCAGAGAGTTAATCTCGATCTGCTATTAAAGGAAAAGCAACCATTTCTTAGCCATATTCATTTTCAAAGCCTGAGCAATCACTGAGAGAGGTATGGAATTATGCAAAGCAAACTACCATTCAAAATCTATATATAGTAAACTCAAATGGAAAAATTATTAAGAATCAAAAATCATGCAAAACTTACCTAATGAAATTTTTGCTTCTGTGGTTCCAACTCCATTCAAAGTTGTGGCCTCTGTGAGAGCAAAGGAGGGAAATTGAGAAGATAGTTTGTTAACATGCAAATGATATGACCCTGTCCCAACAGCCATTTAAAGGAGAATTCCTTGTACTGTTTGACTTACCTGTTCTGAAACCTCCAGGTGAAGCTGTAGTTCCAGAGCCTGTCCCAGTGGAACCTGGGATGGGAGAGAGAAGAAAGAGGGAGTAATATGAACAATGTCTTTCTTATTGAATAGGGATCGTGGTTTAGGACAAATCCATGTGTTTCTGTGAAACAATGGATTCCTTATTCCAAGAGGTGAAGTGAGCATGCTTTTCCCTGTTCTTTTATGTTCCTTGTGGTAAGCTGCATCCTCTGGATCCTTCTTTTCCAGAGTTAGTGTCATGGAGACAGAAGTCTTCCTAATCCTTACCTTTTTTAATTCCCCATGCTCACCTGCTTGATTTCCAGTCGGTTGGCTCCCTGGAATTATGCTGGTGACTCCTGAAGGTTAAAAAAAGAAAAGAACTGTGTTGATATTTTAATTATTTCAAGTTTCCCTCCTCTACTTTCAAAGTTTTATAACTATGAGGCTAGGTTCTCTAGAAAATGAAACATTCAAAAAACAACATGTCCCCAGTAAATTCTGGCTGATATTGTTTGAGATCTTGAATTCCTAAATAAGAGGCATTATGGTCTTGGCACAGTATGGTACATCCCAGTGCTCCCATACTCTGTGTTATGTTATCTGGGTTGGAAACTTCTTAGTTACTGGTTACACCTTGGCAATTGCTGGACCCAAGCTCTTCTCCTTTCTAGGTTCCTTTACCCACCCTTTATAGATACTGGTGAACCCAAGGAACTCTGTTTTTTCACTCTACATGATTACCCTACATAAACTCATCAGCACCCATAGTTTCAAATATCATTTGTAAGAAAATGACTGACAAATCTCTAACTACAGCTTAGGCTTCTCTTCTGGGCCCTAGTCACCCTCATCAGCTCTGCTGGGCATTACTATCTGAAAACCTCAGAGCAATTCAAACTCAGCCTATCAGAATGTGATCTCAATACATCTATCAATTAGCATTTTTTTAATCCATTATGTTCCCAAATGTAGAGGATGGCACCATCATCCATCCACTAAGCACTCACACCATGAACTAGGACTCATCCAAACTTCTTCCTTTCCATCATCCTCTCAGCCACATTAGTTGATTCTAACTGGCTGATGACACTCCTGCCCCTGCTACCCCATGTGACAGCCTTATTTCAGTCCCTAGTCATCACCCACTTTAAGCAGATTCCAAACTAGACAACCTGTTTCCACCAACCCTTCTTACTCTCCTTCATATCAGTTTTCTTTCTACCTTGTGACTAATTCATCTTCCCAAAAAATCCAATATGGGCATGGCAATCAACCTACCTAAAACCCTGCAATTGCTCCTCATTGCCCATGGAATCAAGTTTTAAATATTTTATGTTATAACTAAGCCCTATATTATAATATTCTCATTATAGAATACAGAATTATTGAGTTAATCTCCTTATTCCCCTTCATTTTAATCTTCCTTTTTCCCCTTCTGTCTTTGTCATCTAGAAGCTTCAAAAAATCTAGTATCCTAGTATCCTCTTGCCATGCTTTCCCAACATCTGGGTTGTATTCCACAAACACACTATATTACAGTTTCCTGAACATTCCAGGCTATTTTACATACCCATCCTTTTTAATATAACAGAGAAATAGTCCTTTCCTTGAATAAATTAAAAAATCTCTATGTAAGATTCCCCCCACCCCAAATGTCTTATTTTTATTTCAGTCATCTTCATTTACCTGGGTTGGAAACTTCTTGGTTACTGGTGACTTTACCTGATACAATAGTAGTGCCTGCAAAGACAAGTATAAAAATATTTTACATAAGAAGACTCCTGTTTCTATTGAGGTATTTACGTCTAGGAAGCTATGTCTTACTAAAGCTGCATCTAATTTAGTCCAGGGAATTCCAGAACATTGATATGACCAACCCAATTGACTCTAATATTAATATATCCTCAAATGAAAAGTCTTCTCTCCAGTCAGAGGCAAAATGCCACCAGTAATCAATAAAATCCCCCAAATCTGAAATGCAGTGACCTGTTTGTATTTTACTCCCAGTGGTGGTGTTGCTTAGCACTGAAGTTGTAGTTCCTAGGAGTAAAAAATAAAATAAGGTGATTTTAAATTATTTTGTGGTGGTATAATAGACATATTCTCAATGAAGATGGCATTTTGCTGAGATACTAATAAGAGCTTTCTTTGGTAACTGACTAATTCCTGTTGGAATTTCCAGCAACAAATATGATGAAAGAAGCTGCTCCAGTGGAATTTGAAATGAAAACAAGATTTAGGGATTGACAGATTGTGTGAAGTAGACAAGAAATCATGGTAAAGATTTTTTTTTTGTCTCTAGAATAGCATAGACTTGGACAAATTTACATGTTTCTTATAAGCAGCAAAATGGTTTCTTTATGCAAAGAGAAGCAAAAACCATGTTTTCTCATTCCCCCAAACCAGTAATATGGCAAAACTCTCATTCTGAAAGCCTTTTTCTATGGTTAAATACTTTGAAAAGTCCTTTTCATCTGCTCACCTGTTTTACTTCTTGTGACTTGGCTCCCTGGTGCTTCAGTGGGGATTCCTTGGAAGTAGGGGTGATTTGTAAAAATTGAATTTGTTAAAACCTTATTCATGAGGATAGACTCATGAGGATGCATTTATACTCAATAGAAGTCCATGATGGGTGAATTAAACATCTCTACTAACCAGGACTGGAATTTTCCGGGCCCCTGGAAACTCCAGCTGATCCCAATGTAGTACCTACAAAAGCAAGATGGATAAAAAATTGAGAGCAACACCACATCATTCTTAGCTTCATAAAACCACATCTAAAGGCTGGTGTGCAAAGAAAAATCAGTCTAAAGAGCAAGGGCCAAAGCTGATTTACTTGACATATTATCTCTTCAAATGAAATACAAAACCCTGTTTCAGCCTCGCTTATTCATCTACCACAAACTCAAGCAGAGAATTGTTGAGAACCCAAAAGGCTGAAAGAGCAGACCACTCACCAGTTGCCGTTCCAACCTCAGTGGTAGTAGTTTGAATCTCTGTAGAAGTTGTAGCCTCTGAGAAGTAGGAGAAAGTGGTAAAGAATGCAGACATTTAGAAAAATGTAGCAGTATTACTTCATGTAATATCCATATGGGAGACATCAGGTCCTCTGAAGTTCACAGAGGCAGGTTTCCCCAACTCTTTTGTGACTCACTTGTGTTGGAATTCCCAGGTGCAATGGTTGTGCCAGCAGTTATCCCAGGGGTAACTGAAACCACAAAAGGAGAAAAATCAATTTATAAATTATCTCTGAGTACAAATTGCCAGAATATTGAGTAAAATTTCCACTAAGTTCACTATAGCCAACATGATTTACCTTTTTTGTTTTTGTTTGTTTTTTGAGAGAGAGTCTCTTTCTGTTGCCTGGGCTAGAGTGCCGTGGCGTCAGCCTAACTCACAGCAAACTCAAACTCCTGGGCTCAAGCAGTCCTCCTGCCTCATCCTCCCAAGTAGCTGGGACTACAGGCTCGTGCCACCATGCCCAGCTAATTTTTTTCTATTTTTAGTTGTTTGGCTAATTTCTTTCTATTTATAGTAGAGACGGGGTCTTGCTCAGGCTGGTCTCGAACTCCTGAGCTCAAGTAATCCTCCCGCCTCAGCCTCCCAGAGTGCTAGGATTACAGGCATGAGCCACCATGCCCAGCCATGGTTTACCTTAAAATGAAGAGAAAAATAATTTTTGACTACTTGCGCACACCTGTTTTAATTCCAGCCTTGGTAGTTCCACTACCTCCCAAAGAAGTTGTGGCCTCTATGTGAAAGCAAAAAAGGAGAAAAGTAAATTCAGATCACCCGAAAAAAATTTAGTGGTACCGCCAGGGTATGTTAGGGAATGTGTATGTTGTGGGGAGGGGTCGTAGAAGGGAATACTGACATACCTGTGTTGGAACTTCCAGAGGCAACTGTCGTGCCAGACACTACACCAGTGGTGCCTAATGCAGAGGAGAGAGAAAGATAATCCAAATGGTGGTACATTTACCATTCCAAGAAGAGCATGGACAACAATGACTGTCTATGGCTCAAAAGTAGCAGAAGATCCTTCTGCGCTACTCTGTGAAGGTGAAGTTCATTCTCTATTTTTAAACTCAGAGCCACAATAAACACATTAGCTCATGGTCCAGCCTTGATTATTTGCTTCCTGAGGGTTAAATGTTAGAAGGCTCAGGGCTTTTCCCAGGGTTACCTGTTTCACTTCCAGGGCTTGACCTCTTGGATGTGCCAGTGGTAGCTTTTAACGACAAGAAATAGAAACAATATTTGTGTAAAGGTATTCAACTGTATTCAATTAACATAATATCTGAAATCTAAAATACAATAGACCTAAACCTCCAGAGTTATTTCCATCATCTCTGCTTTTATCTATAAATAGAACTATATAGATTTTACTGTCTCCATATGCTCCAAAGTAATAGCTTGAATGTGAAGAGGGGACTCTTTCTGGACTCTGAGCCCCTTCAGAATTATAGTATTAGGGTTTCTCTTAGGAGAAATGACATTTTTATAATGTAAGTTTTGTCTAACAATGGTCTCTATGAAAATGTTAAAGCCAAATATAAATTATTGGGAACTCAAGAGTTGCCAATTCTACTTTCATAGGTTATGCTCCTTTCTATGGAAGTTATAACTTCAGAGAAGAAAAAGGAAGGAGGAAATCATAGCACCTGTTTCCTTATTGACTCACCTGTGTTGGAACTTCCAGGTGAGACGGTGCTGCCAGGGACCACTCCAGTAGTACCTAAAAGGAAAAAAAAAGGAATGGTATCATTATGTCAATTTCATGCCTACAATAAGAACAACTACAACTGGGGACATTACAAAATTCTTCATTATGTGAAAAGGCCAGTTCTAGGGATAGCTTGTTCCACAGCTGGTGTATGTGTTCGCTAATGTAATGAATGTTTCATTCTTGATAGAAACTTGGTGGCAAGGGAAGATACAACATGTGTGGTGGTGGAGCCTTAGTGATAACACCCCTTTGGACTCGCAGACAACAAAACAAAGGTAACCTCCTTTACTTACCTGTTTGAATGCTAGTGACTTGTCTACCTGATACTCCTAGAAGAAGAAACAAAGCAGGACTGATTACCTGTCAAATTTTCATTTAGGTAAAATACTGTTACTAGAAATTTTAGTGTTCTAGAAAAGTTTAGATACATGGCAAAGGAATCTCGTGGTATAGTAAAGTGATAGTATAGTGTCATGGTTAAGAGGATAGGCTCTGGGGTCAGACGGCCTGAGTTGAAATGTGCTGTTCACTTGCTGTGTGATCTTGGGCAAGTTAGTATTTTTGAACCATAGGTTTCTCATCTATAAAATTTGTGGAAACAATAATGACAAGTATGTAGACTAGTGCCTGGCACATAGTTCATTCTAGAAAGCTGTTAGTTACCATATTGCTATTGTTGCAAAGGAAAAGAGGAGAGGTTAGAAAGCTTGTGTGTTCACCTGTATTGATTCCACTTCCTGTGGTTCCACCACCTCCAATGGATGTTGTAGCTTCTAACAGAGAAAAAGTAGAAAAATCTGAGGTGATCAGGATTTAGCATTCTGAGGAAAGTTAAGAATGTACTTTTCTTGGTAACAATACCAAGACAGACTTTACTACTAGACTTCATGCTGTGGAGGGTCTTTACCAGCTGGTCAGCTCACCTGTGTTAAAATTCCCAGGTTCAAGTGTGGTGCCAGAGGCCAGCCTAGTGGTGCCTGCAACAGGAAGGATGGTGGTGACTTTTCCTCTCACTGGGGAGGGACTGGGTTGGCAGGGAATCAACTTGTCACTACCCCCACACCCAATAAGTGGTGAATTATTTGTTTCCTTATGCATAGTTTTAATCCCCAATCAAATAAAGATGCAAATTCCTCAACATAAGATGCCTGCATTTTTGGAACTTAATCACAGCAATCAAGTTGGCCCCCTTTGCTGCAGTATTTACCAATTGTGCTTCCAGCTCCTTGTTTTACTGCCCCTCTTGTGGTAGCTCCTAAAAGGATGAAAATAGGAAAAGTTTTGAGTGTAAAGGTAGTCTTGAATTATTGGGATAACTACTGTCCATCGCAATCACTTTTGTGCTCATGGAAGAATATACTGTGTGAAGTTAGTTTTCTTTGTTCATTTTGGCCTTCTGTTTACCTGAAATAGAACCCTCTGAGCTTGTAGTTCCTTCTGTTGATATCCCAGTGATACCTACAATAGGGGAAAAAGAACATTCCAGACCATTATCACTTCTCTCATTTGAAGAGGTCTTCATATGTGAGGCTGGGCCCTGGATATGGAAGGACTTTAAAAAATCTTCCCAAACTGATTGGAAATTTGATTTCCAAAGAAAACATTATTGATTTTAGATGAGAGTTCCTACAAAGCTCCCCAAGAAACTATCCTAAGAAGCAAAGTATAATTGTAATTTATCACCCAAAAGTCACACATACACACCCTCATACATATATTCCATTCCATTAATTCTCACCTGTTTTCAATCCTACTATAGTGGTTCCATGGACTCCAGTGGAAGTTGTGGCTTCTGGAAGAAAAGAAAAAACAGGTAAAGGCTGGAAATTTAGGAAGAAGAAAATATATACTATGATACTCTTACATGAGAAGAGTAATGTGAAAGACATTTGGGGTCACCTTATTTTCAGAAGGGGCATTTTCTCCCAAGCTTGTTACCCTACCTGAACTGGAACTTCTGGGTGCAACAGTTGTGCTCAAGGCCACAGCAGTGGTGCCTGAAATGAGAAGGCCATGATATCGTCACGAAGCATATTCTGCATTGAGGCAATCTAGGTAGAAATTAAATGTATAGAGTCACATTCAGCAGTGCTCTGTGCACTGTCCGGCTCCAGGAGACACCATTCACATGGATAACTTGGCTACAAGACAGTCCCATGAGGCATCCTTTCCTTGGCCTTTCTGCTCCTTGACTGAACCATGTATTTTTCCCATGTATCAATTATTTCATTCATTCAGTAAATATTAATTGAACCCTGTTTAGTACTAGGGATCAATGAACAAAATAAATGAAGCCTCTTCCCTCCCCAAGGAGCCTATTTCTAATAGGCTTACTTAAGTAAATATAAAATCCTCAAATGGGAGACAAAGGAATTTTTTACATTTACCTGTTTTATTTCCAGTGATTTGACTGTCTGATGCTCCAGAGGTGGTTCCTGATCATTGAAAAGCAGGTAAAAGATTCTGAGTATGTTTTGACCTTTAATCAGTCACTGAGCCAACCATTAAGCAATTTAGTGTTTAAAGCTCAAGATGAAAAGTCAAATGAGAAGCAAACCATTTCTGAGTTCATTTTAGTTATCTGCTTACCTGAGACAGAACCTCCTGGGCCAGTGTTAACTCCTGCTGATTTTGTAGGGCTACTCGTATTCAATGGGTAAAATCATCTGAAGAATTATTACTCCTACCACCCTCTCTAGAAATCTATATCACAAGGCCAGGCACTGGAAAAGGCTGGTCCAGAAACCAGCTGAGTGGTGTGTGTCAGCAGCATGGCTGACCTGGGGTATGAGCTGGAGGACCTGCCCTTTCTATATGAGAATCTTTTAGATCCAGAGGCAAACTCATGATAGTATTAACAGCAGTGCTAACATCTGGGTACCTAGTCCTCACTGATTTCATTACAGTGGTTCTGATGGTTTCGAAGGAAACTTTGGCCTCTGGAAAAGGCAATGGAGAAAATCGAAAGTATGTCTGGGGACATATATTCCTCTTTGAGGTTAAACAAGGGATGATGGCCTTTAAAAATATTCACTTACTTGGGGTGGAACTTCCAGGTGCAACAGTTGTGCCAGAGACTACTCCATTGGTGCCTGGAATTACAAAGAGGAAGGGCCCGATAAGTCATTTCCTTTACATGAAAAGAAGAGCTAAGAGGAAAAACATTATGCATTTATTATAAATCATAGAAGGCCTCTTCCAGGGTTCCTTATATAACTTTCCACAAGTGGATTTTCTCCACCCTCCCCCCTGCCCACAGATAAAAAGGCAAAGGCTAAACTGTCACATTAGAAGTCTTCTAATTCTGAATATTGGTAAATGTCAGAAATATTCATATTTGTATCATACTCACTTGTTTGACTGCCAGAGACTTGGCTCTCTAGTGTAGTGGTCTTGGCTTCTGAAGAATAAACAAGAGAGAAAAATATGTAAACATAAGGATTTGGGGGCTCAAAGATTTCCACAGGGGAGAAATCAGTCTATTTCAATTAATTTGAATTGTTATAAGCAATTCACAGACATCCCATTTTTACCTAAGACTGTTACTGCCTCAGTGGTTCCTGAGAAACTTGTGGCCTCTGAGAAAGAGTGGAAATAATAGTAGTGAGGGCAAATATTTTAAGAATCTGAGAAAAGTATGGTAGGATCACACAGGGAGACAACTTATTGAGGAGTCCTTCCCAGGCAGTGATTCTTCCCAGCTTGTAGATTTACCTGAGCTGGAGCTCCCAGGGGCAACTATTGTACCAGAGGGTACTCCAGCAGTGCCTAGGTAGGGGAAAAAGAGAAAGATCAACATGCTGACGCTTTCGTAATACTTAGGCATGTCGTTGGCCACATTCTTCTATCTGTGACTTTGGAACAACAAAAGATACTTCCTAGACCTATAACTGACAAGAGGAGAGCCATCTTCCATGTTTACCATGTGCCTCTGTGACGCCAAAGTTAATGCAGGGGCTAATATCCCAAAGTTGAAGGTCATATCAAAGGCTTTTCCCAAGTCTACCTATCTTCCTAATGCTTCGGTGGTGGCCCCAAATGAAAAGAAAATGGGAAAAGTACATTTTGAATTTTTATCTTTGAACTAAAATATGACATCTTAATGATTTCTATGCTGAACAGAAGTCTGTACTGTGATGTTATGCAGATCAAGCTCTTTTCAAAGGGAAAACCATTTTAAAGCCTGAATTATTGCAACTCTCTTCTCCAGAGAACTAGAACCCTGAGGTTAATCTCTGAGAAAGGAAAGCCTTTGGGAAATTTGGGCCCAAGTTGTTTGAAATCCAAATCTAAAAAGAAATCCTGATTCCCTTGAAATATATAGCATCAAAAGGAATTTTTTTTTTAAAAAAAAGCCCCACTATTCCACATTAAAGGGATTGTCTGAATTATCTTTGTAAATTTTCCATAATTTAAAATTGTTCCAAAATAAAAGCTCATTAAAAAAATCTGTTCTAATGAATCTATCAACCTGGAATCAAACTACAACAATAAATAATGAAAAGCCCCAAATCTTCCTCTGATTTTATTTCTGTTCCAGTGGTGCCTCTTCCTCCTAGGGAAGTTGTGGTTTCTTTAAAAAGGAAAGAAAACCAGAGTATTAAGAAAGATGATCTGGAGTGATGTTAATACATGAGAGAAGCACAATTGAAAATGTCTTATCACTTACTATTAAGTCAGAAAAAAAAAGCCCTTCTGACTGTAAAAGTGATAAACATGTGTGTTGAAAGTATATAATTGTTTAAAAACTGAGAATTTTTTTTTTTTTAAGAACATGTTCTGTAATATTTTTTTTGATATGGAAGGACTTTAAAAATCTTCCAAACTGATTGGAAATTTGATTTCCAAAGAAAAATTCATTGATTTTAGATGAGAGTTCCTACAAAGCTCCCAAGAAACTATCCTAGAAGCAAAGTATAATTGTAATTTATCACCCAAAATCACACATACACACCTCATACATATATTCCATTCATTAATTCTCACCTGTTTTCAATCCTACTATAGTGGTTCCATGACTCCAGTGGAAGTTGTGGCTTCTGGAAAAAGAAAAAACAGGTAAAGCTGGAAATTTAGGAAGAAGAAAATATATACTATGATACTCTTACATGAGAAGAGTAATGTGAAAGACATTTGGGGTCACCTTATTTTCAGAAGGGCATTTCTCCAAGTTTGTTACCTACCTGAACTGGAACTTCTGGGTGCAACAGTTGTGCTCAAGGCCACAGCAGTGGTGCCTGAAATGAGAAGGCCATTGATATCGTCACGAAGCATTTCTGCATTGAGGCAATCTAGTGAAATTAAATGTATAGAGTCACATTCAGCAGTGCTCCTGTGCACTGTCCGGCTCCAGGAGACACCATTCACATGGATAACTGGCTACAAACAGTCCCATGAGGCATCCTTTCCTTGGCCTTCTGCTCCTTGACTGAACCATGTATTTTTCCATGTATCAATTATTTCATTTCGTTCAGTTAATATTAATTGAACCTGTTTAGTACTAGGGATCAATGAACAAAATAAATGAAGCCTCTTCCTCCCCAAGGAACCTATTTCTAATAGGCTTACTTAAGTAAATATTATATAAAATCCTCAAATGGAGACAAAGAATTTTTTACATTTACCTATTTTATTTCCAGTGATTTGACTGTCTGATGCTCCAGAGGTGGTTCCTGATCATTTGAAAGCAGGTAAAAGATTCTGAGTATGTTTGACCTTTAATCAGTCACTGAGCCAACCATTAAGCAAATTTATGTGTTAAAGCTCAAGATGAAAAGTCAAATGAGAAGCGAAACCATTTCTGAGTTCATTTAGTTATCTGTTTACCTGAGACAGAACCTTCTGGCCAGTGTTAACTCCTGCTGATTCTGTAGGGCTACCTCGTATTCAATGGGTAAATAATCTGAAGAATTACTCCTACCACCCTCTCTAGAAATCTATATCACAAGCCAGGCACTGAAAAGGCTGGTCCAGAAACCAGCTGAGTGGTATGTGTCAGCAGCCTGGCTGACCTGGGGTATGAGCTGGAGGACTGCCCTTTCTACAATGAGAATCTTTTAGATCCAGAGGCAAACTCATGGATGGTATTGACAGCAGTGCTAACATCTGGGTACTAGTCCTCACTGATTTTCATTACAGTGGTTCTGATGGTTTCGAAGGAAACTTTGCCTCTGGAAAAGCAATGGAGAAAATCGAAAGTATGTCTGGGGACATATATTCCTCTTTGAGGTTAAACAAGGGATGATGGCCTTTAAAAATATTCACTTACTTGGGTGGAAATTCCAGGTGCAACAGTTGTGCCAGAACTACTCATTGGTGCCTGGAATTACAAAGAGGGAAGGGCCCGATAAGTCATTTCCTTTACATGAAAAGAAGAGCTAAGAGGAAAAACATTATGCATTTATTTTAAATCATAGAAGGCCTCTTCCAGGTTCCTTATATAACTTCCACAAGTGGATTTTCTCCACCCCTCCCCCTGCCCACTGATAAAAAGCAAAGGTAAACTGTCACATTAGAAGTCTTCTAATTCTGAATATTGGTAAATATCAGAATATTCATATTTGTATCATACTCACTTTTTGACTGCCAGAGACTTGGCTCTCTAGTGCAGTGGTCTTGGCTTCTGAAGAATAAACAAGAGAGAAAAATATGTAAACATAAGGATTTGGGGGCTCAAAGATTTCCACAGGGGAGAAATCAGTCTATTTCATTAATTTGAATTGTTATAAGCAATTCACAGACATCCATTTTTACCTAGAGCTGTTACTGCCTCAGTGGTTCCTGAGAAACTTGTGGCTCTGAGAAAGAATGGGAAATAATGTAGTGAGAGCAATATTTTAAGAATCTGAGAAAAGTATGGTAGGATCACCCAGGGAGACAACTTATTGAGGAGTCCTTCCCAGTGATTCTTCCAGCTTGTAGATTTACCTGAGCTGGAGCTCCTGGGGACTATTTTACCAGAGGTACTCCAGCAGTGCCTAGGTAGGGGAAAAAGATCAACATGCTGACGCTTTCGTAATCCTTAGAAGAATGTGGCCAACAACATGCCTATCTATGACTTTGGAGCAACAAAAGATACTTCCTAGACCTATAACTGACAAGAGGAGAACCATCTTCCATGTTTACCATGTGCTCTGTGAACCAAAGTTAATGCAGGGGCTAATATCCAAAGTTGAAGGTCATATCAAAGGCTTTTCCCAAGTCTACCTGTCTTCCTAATGCTTCGGTGGTGGCCCAAATGAAAGAAAATGGGAAAAGTACATTTTGAATTTTATCTTTGAACTAAAATATGACATCTTAATGATTTCTATTGCTGAACAGAAGTCTGTACTGTGATGTTATGCAGATCAAGCTCTTTTCAAAGGAAAACCATTTAAAGCCTGAATTATTGCAACTCTCTTCTCCAGAGAACTAGAACCCTGAGGTTAATCCCTGAGAAAGGAAAGCCTTTGGGAAATTAGGGCCCAAGTTGTTTGAAATCCAAATCTAAAAAGAAATCCTGATTCCCTTGAAATATATAGCATCAAAAGGAATTTTTTTTAAAAAAGCCCCACTATTCCACATTAAAGGGATTCTCTGAATTATCTTTGTAAATTTTCCATAATTTAAAATTGTTCCAAAATAAAAGTTCATTAAAAAAATCTGTTCTAATGAATCTATCAACCTGGAATCAAACTACAACAATAAATAATGAAAACCCCCAAATCTGCGTCTGATTTTATTTCTGTTCTAGTGGTGCCTCTTCCTCCTAGGGAAGTTGTGGTTTCTTTAAAAAGGAAAGAAAACCAGAGTATTAAGAAAGATGATCTGAGGTGATGTTAATACATGAGAAGCACAATTGAAAATGTCTTATCACCTATTAAGTCAGAAAAAAAAACCCCTTCTGACTATAAAAGTGATATATACTTTCAATACACATGTTTAATTGTTTAAAAACTGAGGATAAATTTTTAACTCATATGATTCTTAATTGGACCTCAATTAGGTAGTCCCTAATTAGAATAAGATAGGTAAACTTCTTAATAAAAATGTGTATAGTAAGGAACTCAAATGATAAATAGTGATAGTAATGAGCATATCTATGTATTAGAGTTTTCATGCACAAAAATTTTGCCAGTGGCTACCATACTGGAATTTGGATTAGAGACTGACAGGAATAAAAATGTCAATTCCTTACACATGATGAGAAGGAAATGGCCTAGGATGGGGGTCAGGGAACCATGTGTCTTCTCAATATGCCAACAAGCTCTTTTCGGAGGTTTTTAGAATCAGGAGTTAACCTGTATACGTTTTCCATGCACCACTGCTATCCCACAGAATATTTAATGAAAAATGTCAATAACTCAATTCTTTAGATATTTATGAAAGAAAGATGTTTCTCTACCAATCACCTAACTGATTTTCAGTGCCTTAGCTCCATGATGAAGCCACCTTGAAGCAGAGGAAAAGAGGGAAAAAAAGCTTGTGTTTCTGACCTTTAGTTGCTAGGTAAAATCCTGGCTGTTCAGTAACTTTTGTTTACAAAATGCTCCTCACAGGAAGTTCAAATACTAGATACAGTTCAGGCAACTTTGCCTTGGTAGGCAGTGGTCTGTCAGGGCTTACCTGAAGTGGTTTCAACTTCCATCACTCCACTTTCTCCAGGGGAAGTTGTGGCTGCTGAGAGCAGAAAGACACAAATGGAAAAGTCTCGGGGGGGGTGGAAGGAAATGGTGGTGCTTCTGCATCGAAGCACCAAACAGAACACATGCCACCGTAGAATGTACACAAGTTCACCAGACTGCAGACTCACCTGTGCTGAAACTTCCAGGGGCAACTGTTGTGCCAGGGGCTACCCTGGAAGTGCCTGAAACACAAAGACACTGAGGTGGATCATGATGACTCCCTAAGTCAAAGGAATACCTGAATCTAAAAGGGATATAATGTGCTTATTTATTTGCCATAACAGAAATCTTCCTCTGAGCACATGGCAGATGATGAATTTGATGTATTTGCCTGCTTTCAACAATTCATAACCAAAGCAAATGGAGAGATGATGTTCCCAACTTTAGATGCTTCTGCCTGGGATTTGATAAAAGGGAAACTATTAATAGATGCATTTTGCCAGTGCTCACCTGCTTGGTTCCCTGGTCCTGCAGTGGTGCCTGCTATAAAGCAGAAAAAGGGGTGGGGAGATTTAAATGTGCTAAAAATTTTAGATGTAGAAGAAAATATTGAACAAGCAAATTTTTATACATACACACACACATACATGCATATGTCCTGGGTTCCATGATGCTTTTTATCGATTTCACACATACATACAGGAAACTTTCTAGATTCCAGCTAAAGTGCTAGTGTTTTTTATAACAATGGAAAAATCCCATAGTCAGACTTGGAGCAGTGAAGTTCAATTAGAGAATAGATTTTCAAAAAGATTTTTTTCTCTAATAAATGTATTTTGATTCACTTGCAATGTCCATAAATAGAATGCAAACTCTCTCAAGAAAAGCTTAGAGAGTTCTAATCCCGATAACCCTAAATCATGAGCTGTCTATTCTCACCACTTTTGAATCCAGTTCCAGTAGTGCTAGTCTCCTCTGTGGAAGTTGTGGCTTCTGAGGGAAGAAACAGGAAAATGATGAAGTCTGGGAACTTGGAATACTGGGAAGAGATACTTGGGTGTTATTTTATCATAGCAGCCCTACAAGAGATAGCATGACATCTGAGATGAAAAGGCATTTCCTTCTTGTTAACCTACTTGTGCTAGAACTTCCAGCTATGATGGTTGTTCCAGAAAATTCTCCAGTAGTACCTAAAATGCAAAAAAGCAAATGGAGCAATAAAGCATTCACTACCTCCCCACTTAATCTTGGAAGCATGAGTGTGGCCCTAAAGCACTAGAAGCCCTTTCCTGAGGATACTCTTATCTCTGCAGGGAATGGAATGAACAACTTCCTATCGTGTCATTTCCCATGCCAACCTGGAATGGGATGTGTTGCTACTGGGTTTTCATTTCAGTATGAGGTGAAGAGGGAAAAGGGCTTTAAATCACCCTTGCTTGTTTCCCTTCCAGGGACATAACCCCCTGGGTATACCAGAGGTGCTTAAGGAAGGAATAAAGTATGGTTTTATCTCTGTAAGTTGGGCTTTTGATACAAACTGGGGTATTTGCATAATCAATTGCCTTCATGAAGCTTTCTCGTGAAGGGAGATAGAGAATAAACAGTAAACATCATGTATAAGTAAACGAGAAGAATGAGAGAAAGTGGAACGCTATTGGGGAAAAGGTCAACTGCGTAAGAAGGATTGGAAATTTGGAACCCCTGGGATCTGGAATATACGCAATATGCTCTCATACCTCTTGACAGAAAAAAAAGAAATGTCTTTGTAAGCCAGGACACTGAGGAATAGCCTGGCTGTGACACCTGAGGACATGGAATTCTTAAGCAGAATAACTGCCCAGGTTGATTCAATACAATATGGCCCAAGAGAAAAATGAAAACCACCTGCCTTACACTCCTCCATAGTATTTGTTCATTGTAGCAACCCAAATAGATGATGAAAGCCCCCCCAAGCCTCAGACTGAAAAGCTCACCTCCTGGCAGTCCTGCTCGAGTGTTCCCACTGCCTCCTGGGATAGTTGTGGCCTCTGAGAGAGAAAAAAAAGGAAGATACACAGACTGGGCAGGGCACTCTGGGTCTCCCATTGGCTGTATTGCCCCAGGTGCCATGTTCAAAATTCCTGACCTGTGTTGGCACTTCCAGGTTCCAGAGTTTTGTCAGAGATACCCTCTGTAGAACCTGAAATAAGAAGGGATTGTGCTCATTTAGTCAATGACATGAAATGGGCATAGGCTCTTAAAGGAAAAAAAAACTTTGTTTCTCCGATATACAAGTGAATTTATTTCTCCAGACTTTCTAGTTTTCTATTTTAAGAGTTAGTCCATATATTTTCCATGGAACATATCATTCCCTCAGTTAAGTTTGCAGAGAAAGTCCCGTATCACTCACCGCCACTTTTTAGGGTTTAGTCACAGGAATACAGATTTGGGCCCAAACTACCTATATAACTATCAGGGAATGTGCCCCATGACCCCTGATGAAGGGTCCTTAGACACATGACATAAAGAGGAAAAGTTGAAGTATCTAAATTGCATTTATTGATGTCACATATTGAACATCTGCAAAATTTCTGCCTAATATTCCAAATCTTGGAAATTCAAAGAGTTATGAAATATTTCAGGCAAGGCTCTTGGGAAGTTATTAGAAAGTATAGTTAGTGCCTGAACAGAGCTCACCTGGGATGATTCCAACTCTGGTTGTTCCACTTTCTCCTACAGAAGTTGTTGCCTCTAGAGAGAGGAAAATGAGATAGAGATGACTGGAAAATATTTAAGAACCATGGAAAAAGATATGATAGTTCTCCTACACAGAATAACAGTGGATGAGAAATCTCATCACAGGTGGACTCCTGGAAGATTCTCTGCCACCCTATTGACTCACCTGTGTTGGAACTGCCAGGGCCAACAGTTGTGCCAGGGGCTACCCCAGTGGTGGCTGAAACACAAAGGGTCTGAGGTCATCATGGTGACTCGTTTATCTCCTGAAGACCTGCCTCTAGAAGGAATCTGGATGTATCTTTGTTATATCAAAGGGCTGAGGACTGAACTCTTAATTTTTTGCTAAAAACTCCTTCCTAAGGAGGCCAGCTGGGTTAGGCTGGCAAATGGTAAGGAGGCCAGCAGGGTTAGGCCGACAAACAGTAAATTCCCACTAAGTGGCTTTTGTTAACCAAACGAAGCAGTGGTTTACTTCCTGACCTGATTCTGGTATGGCATTAACATCACCTAAAAGATAAGAAGCCCCTGTCTTAACTCAAGCATCCTAGCAGGGATGCCTATTCTTCAAATTTAAAGCATGCTTTAAAACATCGCTAGCAGGCGGCCTATTGTAAAATTTCAGTTCCGTCCGTCTGGAACCTCCCAGAGGTGCTCAATACCCTTTTCTAAAGTAAGCCAATATCCTTTCTGGCTCTCAGATAAAGACTAACTCTCTCTCAGCCAATTGCCAGCCAACAGAATCTTTAACCCCACCTATAACCTGTGAAGCCCCCTACCGCTTCGACATGTCCCGACCTTTTTGGGCCGCAGAA